GATCCCCTTCGCCGGTAAATGTTAAATTCCATCGTTGTATTATACTCACGGTTTCGGAATCACACACCTCTCGGCGGGGAAGTCGCTCGGGAACATGCAGACATTCTTGGGTGATGACTGTTTTTTCTTCTGCCTTGAGCTCGTTTTCCAAGTCGCGTAATAAGTTTTCGGTCGAGCTCCTCAGTCGCTTTTTCTTCACGAAGTCCGCCAGTTGCCTCCTTAGGTTCTCGACAGTACATCCTTCAGTCGGTATAGCTGCCGCCTGGCATTGTTCGACAAGTTGTTCCCTTCTCAGAAGGAAAATCCATCCTAAGGATTCGGGTTTCAATTTCTTATCGTATTTCCGACTTGACTCGTCCTCGTTGGTGGATGTTTCGGTTTTGCAGCAGTGCGATTTCGATTCAGGTCCCTGCTCGGGCGCCATTTGTAACGTGGTTTTCTCGTCGGCTGAGTTAAGCTCAGCTGTATCCAGGGTCTCCATAAGGACCCACTAAACCTTATGAAATAATAAGAGTAGATTTCTCCCTTTCCTGGGGGTAAAAATCGGATGTTTTATTGATCTTTAATTCTAAATTACAATCTACTCGGGTTGAAATACGATAAGATAAATTTGGAATATAGGATCGCAAATGGACTTCGGAGATGTTCGTGATTTCAAGGTACTGATGCTTAGTTGATGATCGGGAATTCGTTGTTTACTCGTATCGTAGGCAGGAGGGTGTACGACTCGTGGACAATCGAGAACGATGATGTCGGGTGTACACAATGAGTACTCGGGTGGTTGATGTGAGGGGTGATTAGTCGACGACTTGAAGGCGATCGGATATTCGGGGATGACCGTAGGAGGTTGATTGTGGGGAAGATCGGGAATTACGGTGTTGCGTTCGGGTGACGCTTACGTTGACGATTTGAGGGTCGACGATCGGAAATTACGATGATTGTGTTCGGGTGATGACTGTTGTTGACGATTTGAAGGTAATCGGGAACTTGTGATCGTCGGTTGTCGACGACCAGGAATTACGATGATTGTGTTCGGGTGATGACTGTTTTTGACGATTTGAAGGTAATGGGGAACTTGTGATCGTCGGTTGTCGACGATCAGGAATTACGATGATTGTATTCGGGTGATGACTGTTGTTGACGATTTGAAGGTAATCGGGAACACCGAAAACTACTTTGTTCACCACGCGCCCAATGAATGCTGCGTTTGCTGGCTAGTGCTGTTGTCGCCTTGCTGACTGCGTATGACCGAGTCGTGTGTGCATGGTGGTGGTGGTGATTGGTTGGTGCTGTTAGCGTCGCACTTGCAGTGGTCGCTGTTGTTGTTCTCATTGTGTAATATGTGCGGTTGTTTGTTCGTATAAATGTACGTGATGAAATCAGCACGTTACAAAACGCACCACCCCCTGCACGAGCAAGGGGTAGTGATAGGGGGCTGAATTTCTGTGCGCGGAATTTGAGTGACATTATGGCATCCTCCACTAAGTTTCAACATTTTTCTCCTACAAATAAGGGAGCCGGCGTTAATGGGTTAAGCTACTTATTATCAGTATCAAATTTAGAAAAATTTTGGTTCGCGTGGCAGGTGTTGGACATATCCCAGGGAGAATATCTCAAGCCCCGACCGAAAGCCCGCTACGTAAACGAAGTACCCAATATAGAAAGATTTTAGATTACATAACCGGTCGGTCGAACAAGTAATTTTATTTATTTATATTTTCAATACCCTCCACCTTAGGGTAAAGGAAAGGTTGGTATATAAAAGTATTTGAACTCAAGCGTGTTTCTCTTTAAACTTCATATTCCAGTAATACCGTTTGCATAATGTAGTTAAATTTATCAAAAAGAACATAAAGTGAGTGAGGCCGGTTTATCGAACCATACCAAAACGGAAACTTCTATAGGCAATTTTATACTTCAAGGTTTGCCATCTATCAAATCTTCTAAAATACCAAATTTGAAACAATTATGTGGGTAAATGTGACTATGATTATCTACATACCGAATATCGGTGGATATAGTTATTTGTACGCTTTAGGAAAACGTGGAGCTAAATATCCAATGCTCTGCCACTTATGAACTGCAAATACCAATTTTTATCAAAATATCGAATTTTGGGAGGTATCGTTATATGGGGGCTATACCAAAAAGTGGACCTATACATACAATGTTTCATCATACGAGCTAGAACCAAATATGACCTACAAATACAAATTTTTAGACAAATTCAGGAGGTACCGTTATATGGGGTGTATTTCAAAACGTGGACTTAAACATACAATTTTTCGCCACCGGAGCAAGAACCCATCATGACCAACAAATTCTAATTTTTAGACAAATCCGTGAATAATGTGGCAAAAATTATCAAAATACCGAATATTGGGAGGTATCTTTATATGGGGGTCTATATCAAAACGTGGACCAATACGTAAAATGTTTCACCACAGGAGCTAGAACCCATTATGACCCACAGCTACCAATTTTTAGACATAACCGCGAAAAAATGTGACAAAAATCATCAAAATATCAACGTGAACCTATACATACAATGTTTCGCCACCGGAGCTGGAGCCCATTATGACTCGCAAATACTAATTTTTAGACAAATCCGTGAAAAAATGTGGCAAAAATCATCAAAATACCGAACATTGAGAGGTACCGTTACATGACGGATATATCAAAACGTGGACCGATATATCTCATTTTCAACACCAACCATCCTAGACACAATACAAATTGTTCTGCCAAATTTCTACGTCAAATAATGTGGGCTGTATCGTGATTTCAACAGACAGACGGACATAGTTAAATCGACTTAGAATTTTATGCTGATTATGAATACAGATTTTAGTTCGCGTAGCTGATGTTGGACATTCCTAGAAGAAAAATGTCAAGCCCCTGCCAAATGCCAGCTTCCTAAAATAGCATCAAATTAGGAAAATGTTGGTTCGATGCACTGAACAGATTTGAGTTGTCCAGGTTCATAGACCCATATCTTTTGACCCAGGAAAGATTAAATCATATATTGTAGCATTTTGGAAGGTTGAATAATATGCTAGTAATTATGTTTGCATATGTTTTACGGACCTTATTCGATTTTTGGTGGTTTTATATTTTATATTATAATTATAGTTCAAGGAATGAGAATTTTTCATTAATTTTCAAATGATATTTATATCATCCGCTGTAGCATCCATTACCAACTTCAAATACGACATCTCAAACAATTTCTATGAGTATTGTATCCAAACTCGACAAAATACCGAATATGGGGAGGTACTGATATATGGGGGCTATACGAAGACGTGGACCTGCATAGACAATTTTCTGTCACAGACTTTAGTTCCCATTACGAACTCTAAATATGTAATTTGAAATTACCCCGTGAATAATGACGCTAAAATCATCAATATACAGAATATAGAGAAGTACCGTTGTAGGGGGCTATAGGAAGACGTGGACCAGCACAGACATTTTTCTGTCATAAGATGTAGTATCCATTTCGAACTTCAAAAATATTTGAAACAATTCCGGTGAATAATGTCGCTAATATCATCAAAATACCGACTATCTAGAGGTACCGTTATATAGGGGCTATATGAAGACGTGGATTTGCTCAGACATTTTTCTGTCTTAGCCTGATCAAAATACCGAATATAGGGAGATACAGTTATATAAGGGCTATATGAAAAGTGAACCTACATTACCCAATTACGAACTTCATGACATGAGTATTTCGAGGAGTTACAAACGGAATGACAAAGTTAATATCCCTCCATAGTATGGTGGAGGGTACAATAAAACAAGTTAAAAAGCAGTAAGTTCGGCCAAGACGAACTTTGAATACCCTCCACCATTTGGAACGAATTTGGAAATTTTCAAAAATAAAATCCTTAAAACATTTAAAATTTAAAAATACCAAATATAGCCGTTATATTGGGGTCTATACGACGTGGACCTACATAGGAATTGTTTGTCATAAGCCATTACCATACTCAAATTCGACACTTATATCGGAGCTGTGCGAAGACCTGGACCTGCGTAGACAATTTTCTGTCACATGCTGTAGCATCCATTACGAACTTCAAATACCACATCTCAAACAATATCGGTGGGTATTGTACCTAAAATCGTCAAAATACCGAATATAGGGAGGTACTGATATATGGGGCCTATACGAAGACCTGGACCTGCATAGACAATTTTCTCTCACAGGCTGTAGTTCCCATAACGAACTCTCAATACGTATTTTGAAACAATTCTGGAGAATACTGACGCTAAAATCATCAAAATACAGAATATTGGCAGGTACCGTTATATGGGGGCTTTACGAAGATGTGCACAAACAATTTTCTGTTTTAGGGTGTAGTATCCATTTCGAACTTCAAATACCAAATTTGAAACTATTCCGGTGAATAATGTCGCTAAAATCATCAAAATACCGAATATCGGGAGGTACCCTTATATGGGGGGCATATGAAAACGTAGACCAAATGACCCACTTACGAACTTAACCTGCCTGCTGGAAAAATAAACATGTGTGCAAAATTTTAGCCATCTATCTCAATTCATTCAAACAGACATACGGACAGACAGACGGATATCGCTAAATCGACTTACAATTTTACGCTGATCAAGAATATATATACTTTGTTGGGTCTGACATGAGTATTTCGAATAGTTACAAACGGAATGATAATAATATACCCTCCATAGTATGGTGGAGGGTATAAAAAGATTTACTTGTTCTGTTTTATATGTTAACAGAGAATGCTAACATCTCCAGCCAAGCTATTTTCACATTATTTCTATGAAGAATATTTAGGGATGTTAAAAACAAAATGAGAAATTTAATATACCCCCCTATTCAAGGTGGTGGGTATAAAAATATAAACTTTGTATTTGCTGCAATTAGCATTGTCAAATTAGATTTCATTGAAATAGGTTCCCATTTCTGATTTGTATATTTAATTATCTGTTCTTTTTCTATATGTTTACAGAGAGCGCGAACTTCTCCAACCAGGCTATTATCATATCGCTCAGGAATTGATTTATCAGTGGTTAGGATCTTGGATAACACCCTATTGGTGGGATGATGCCCATGTAAACAAAGCCCTTGCAAGCTTTCTTGCAGCAAATATAGTCTTTGAGGTGCGTGTAACACGGTTGCCTAATAAAGCTCAAGAACTATTAATATTGCAATCAGTAATCATTTTCTTTTTCGATATATATTAACAGATTAACAACGGTAGAGAATTTAATGGGAAATATCCAATGACTATATTATATTCCCTTTACTATGAATTCAGTAAAAGATATCCACACTCCCGCATCACTGGTATGAAACAAGAAACAACGTCATATAAAACTGAACTTGTTATGCGAATGTTGAACTACACATTGGGCGATAATTTATTCCGCGAGGGAATACGAACATTTATTTTAAAACATCAATATGGAACATTTCGAGAATATGAATTATGGGATATTCTAACAAAACAAGCCTACCTAGACAATACTCTGAATCTGGAATATAATATTTCCGAAATAGTAAAATCATGGATTATAAAGGATCGCTTGCCGGTAGTCGATGTTAAACGAGACTATGTCGATAAAACTGCTCTTGCAACACAAAAGGTCTACTTAAGAGAAAGACCTCATGACGTTCCAGAACGGGATAAAATGCTATGGTGGATACCACTTGTTGTGGTACAAGAGAATGACATAAATTTCTCAAACACAACGCCTGTAAAGTGGCTTGCAAATACAAAGACACAAATTTTAGAAAATCTACCAGGTGATGACAAGTTCGTCATAGTTAATCCTGAGGAAATAGGCCCGTTCCCTGTAAATTATGATGTAAAAAATTGGAATCTACTCTCGAACTTTTTGCAAACCTCAAAAGGTCTCAGCGCTATTCCAACATATACAAGGTAAATAATAAACATGTTTGCTTACTTTTATATGACTTTGCTTAAGCCAAGTAATAATAAGTAATAAATTACAGAGCTAAGCTTTTACACGATGCCTGGAATTTGGCATACGCTGGAGATTTAAACTTTGCCTCCGCATTAAACATGACACTTTTTATGAAGCTGGAACGTAATCATATTGTGTGGAATCCTGTATTTACATTTATAGACCACATTGGAAGACACATAGATAATTCGAACATCCAAGAAAAATTCCAGGTACATGCATGTATATTTGATTTGTTATGTTTACCACCTCAAATTTATGAATGTTAACCTTGTGCAAAAAAAATATATATATATAAAAAAAAAAAAATATATATATATATATATATATATATATATATAAAATATATATATATATATATATATATACATACATTTATATATATATATATATATATATATATATATATATATATATATATATATATATATAGTATATATATATATATATATATATATATATATATATATATATATATATATATATATATATATATATATATATATATATATATATATATATATATATATATATATATCTGATTTCAAATTAATTTTGAATTACAATACCACCTTCACACCAATATATAACAACAAGTAGCCCGGAAAGTTTTAACCATGTCCGTCAGCTCAGCAACGACCGAGACATTTTTAAACATCTTAACACATTCTAAACGAAAGATATACTAGGCTTTTAAGTTCTAGCTTGGACAAAATAATGTATTTCATAATATTCAAATACACTTATAAGTAAGTTTTTGTACTATATTTACATGTATATTTTAGAAGTACATATGAATATTATTTGAATACATAAATTTAAAACTAGATCAATATCTCTTTTTACATAAAAGAGTCGTGCGAGTATGTGCCTTCTCTGAAATGGCTTGAAAGTGCATGTCCCGGCCCATCCAATGCATACTCCTGTTATTGTGCTGCTGCAGAAAGGGTTGGTTGCTTTGAACTTTGAGACGGCAACATCGAGTTGGTTGCGCATTTAGGTCAGCTGTAATTACTTAGAATCATTTGACACACACCAGTGACTTAAATTGTCCTAAATCGGTAGAGGACAACCAAGAAGGTAGTTTTATAAAAACAACTCCAAGTAATTATTATATAATTAGGGTGGCAAACTGCTGCAAACACATTTTATTATTCTACGAATGTGCCGAGATCTTTCTTAAATACTTCGTTGAACTGGCGCGATGTAAGGCAGACTCATAATTTAACCTTTTTTTATGACGAGTTGCATGGTCTGTAGGAAAACATATGTTGAAATATATTAAACAAGTAAAATAACAGTAAGTTCCGCCGGACCGAACTTTGAATACCCTCCACCATTTGCAACGAATTTGGAAATTTTCGAAAAGGGTAACATTCGCCAAAAATTCTGTTAACAGCTTAAAAGTACCGAATATAGCCGTTATATTAGGGCCTGTATGACGTGGACCTACATAGGCATTGTTTGTCATTAGCCATTACCATATTCAAATTCGGAACTTAAAATAATCGGTGAATAATGTAGATAAAATCATCAAATTCCGTATATAGGTAGGTACCGTTATATTGGAGCTTTACGAAGACCTGGACCTGTATAGAAAATCTTCTGTCACAGGCTTAACTTCCATTACTAACTTCAAATCCAACATCTCAAACAATTTCGGTGAGTATTGTACCTAAAATCGTCAAAATACCGAATATTGGAAGGTACTGATATGTGGGGCCTATACGAAGACCTGGACCTGCATAGACAATTTTCTGTCACATACTGTAGTTCCCATTACGAACTCTAAATACGTAATTTGAAACTCAAAATACCGAATATTGGGAGGTACCGTTATATGGGGGTTATATGAAGACGTGCACCTGCGTAGACAATTTTCTGCCTTAGGTTGTAGTATTCATTACGAACTTCAAAGACCAAATTTGAAACAATTCCAGTGAATAATGTCACTAAAATCATCAAAATACCGAATATGGGGAGGAACCCTTATATGGGGGCTATACGAAGACGTGGGCCTACACACACAATTTTCTGTAGTATCCAAAATAAACATGTGTGCAAATTTTAGACTTCTATCTCAATTCGTTCGAAAGGTAGCGTGATTACAACAGACAGACGGACAGAGAGACAGACAGATGGCAATGGCTAAATCGTCTTAGAATTTTACGCTGATCAAGATTATGTATACTTGTTGGGTCTGACATGAGTATTTCGAGGAGTTACAAACGGAATGACAAAATTAATATACGATCCATAGTATGGTGGGGGGTGTAAAAATTGATAATATATGAAATTTATAGCATATCCTTCATTTAATTATATTCATCCAATTTTTTGAAAAACTACATTTGATTTTTTCAAAACTTCAATTTAAAATTATACCAACCAAAATAATCTCATTTAAAATAATAATTAGTATCTGTAATTCTGCAATATTGTGAAATTTAACTTCATGCAAAAAATGTCCATCCCTGATTTGTGTATATAAAATGGATTTATGTATATACATTTTTACAAACAGGTGTTGTTAATGATACAATTCTAAATAAGAATTTTAAAATGTGTTTGCAGCAGTTTGCCATCGTAAATATATAATAATTACTTGGATTTATTTTTATAAAACTACCTTCTTGGTTGTCCTCTACCGACATAGGACAATTTAAGTCACTGATGTGTGTCAAATGATTCTAAGTAATTACAACGGACCTAAATGCGCAACCAACTCGATGTTGCCGTCTCAAAGTTCAAAGCAACCAACCCTTTCTGCAGCAACACAATAACAGGAGTATGCATTGGATGGGCCGGGACATTCACTTTCAAGCCATTTTAGAGAAGTATATGCCTTCTCGCACGACTTTTTTTATGTAAAAAGAGATATTGATCTAGTTTTGAATTTATGTATTCAAATAATATTCATATGTACTTCTAAAATATACATGTAAATATAGTACAAAAACTTACTTATACATGTATTTGAATATTATGAAATACATTATTTTGTCCAAGCTAGAACTTAAAAGCCTAGTATATCTTTCGTTTAGAATGTTTCCAGATGTTAAAAAATGTCTCGCTCGTTGCTGAGCTGACGGACATGGTTAAAACTTTCCGGGCTACTTGTTGTAACAATTTAGATTATATTGGTGTAAAGGTGGTATTGTAAAGTTCTGCTTGTCATTAGAACACTCTATATCAAGTAACAATGGCTTTACATTACGTATTTTATGATTTATTTTCTAATAAAAAAAACCAGTAAAGAATGTCCTAAAGTCGGGCGGGCCGAAATTATGATACCCTACACCACTTTGCTAATTTAGTAGAGTTCCACATAACAATTAAAAGTTATTATGCGAGAATTCAATCATACACGCTATTTTTATGATTATAATTTAAAGTTGAAAGGACTAAATATGCCGAAGCATTTGTATCTTTTAAATTCGGACTTGTATTGTCCATTTGGTGCAAAATTAATTTGAAATCAGATATAGATATATAAGAGAGCTATATCCAAATCTGAACCGATTTCGATAAAATTTGGCAAAGATATTTCTGAGCTGTATTTGACATATTTCCCTGAATATCGTTGTTACGGAGTGCATATTACGGCTGTGGGTAACAAATACAACAAATCGGATGAACAATATATGGGAGCTATAGCTATATCTGATGAGAGCTATAGCTATATCTGAACCGAATTTGGCATACTACCTTCTAGACTCAATTCGGTCGTATGTGCCAAATTCCATCCCATTTGGGCAAATATTAGACGTTTGATGCACAATAAAAGGCAAATCGGACGAAGATATATATGGGAGCTATATCTACATTTTTACCGATTATTTCCAATTTCAATAGGGTTCGTCCTTGGGCCAAACAACTGTTGTTTGGAAAATTTCATCTCAATCGGATAATAAATGCGACCTGCATTTTGTTCACAATAATATATGGACAGACGGACGGACGGACAGACGGACTGACATGCATAAATCAACTCAGAAAGTGATTCTATGGAGATCCTCAAAAGTAACTATGGGTCTATCTCACTTCCGTCTCCGTGTTACAAACAAATGCACAAATACATAATACTCTAAACACCCTAAAACAGATTAAGTTCGGTCGGGCGGAACTTTCAATACCCCCCACCTTAAGGTAAAGAATACATTATTATATAAAAGTGTCTGAACCCAAGAGTGTTTCACTTTAATCTTCATGTGAAACAAATTACCATAAATTTATCAAAAAACTACGTTTTAGGAAAACGTGAAACAATTTTTAGACAAATCTGTGAAAAAAGTGGCAAAAATCAACACAATACCGAATATTGGGAGGTACCGTTATATGGGGTCTATACCAAAACGTGGACCTATACATACAATGTTTCGCCACCGGATAAAGATCCCATCATGACCAAAATATTCCAATTTGTAGACAAATCCGTGAAAAAATTTGGCAAACATCATCGTAATACCGAATATCGTGTGGTACCGTTATACGGGGCTATACCTAAACGTGGACCCATACATACAATGTTTCGTCACAAGAGCTAGAACCCATTATAACCTACAAAGTCAAATTTTTAGATAAAACCCCGAATAAATGTGCCAAAAATCATCAAAATACCGAACATCGGGAGGTACCGTTATATGGGGTATATACCAAAGCGTGGACCTACACATAAAATATTTCGCCATAAGAGCTAGAACCCATTTTAATCAGAAGGTCCAATTTTTAGACAAATCCGTGAAAAAAGTGGCAAAAATCATCAAAATACCGAATATCGGGAGGTACCGTTATATGGGGGCAATACCAAAAAGTGGACATATACCTTCAATGTTTCGCCACATGAATTAGAACCCATTATACACTACAAATATCAATTTTTAGACAAATATCTGGCAACTCCGGTCGATTGAAAGTGTTTCTTTTCTGTGTGTTCGTCTAACGAAATAAAAATTCATTTTTTTGTGTTTAAGGCGTCATTAAAAGTGTCAAATTGTGACATTTAAATTAACACAATTTATCTTGTTTTCAAAAGTGTGAAGTTTTTGTGAAACAAGTGTTTTTTTATACTCTCCACCATACTATGAAGGGTATATTAATTTTGTCATTCCGTTTGTAACTCCTCGAGATACTCACGTCAGACCCAACAAAGTATATATATTCTTGATCAGCGTAAAATTCTAAGACGATTTAGCCATGTCCGTCTGTCTGT